TGCTCAAATCATATTACACCAGGAACACATCCTCATATACAAAAAATCCAACTTCTCAATTTCTGATGTCTTTGAGGAAAAATAGATATACTCAATAGCCTTGAAGACCATGCCAGTTGAATTTGGGAGATGGCTTGCTTCTGAGCCCTTTTGATGTGTTCCTGATGCTTCAAGGAAATAATAGTAATAAAAAAAGCATTTTAAAGTGTTGCAAAGTTGCTTTAGATGGATGGTATCCTTTTCGGTTTTTATAATTCAGTAATCTAGAGATGCAACCTTGTAAAGGTTGGCATCTACATTTACAATGGTGAAACCATTGCTATGATCACTAAAGTTACCTAAAACCCTTAAAACCCATACAGCTGCCAACCAAAGGAGTCCCATGAATCAGAGAGCAAGGCACTGAAGAATGATGCTTTCAGTCCAGTCCCACCAGCAAGATGCAATTTGATGAACAGATATGACAGGACACTATAATGGCTGCAAATGTGTGGATCTGCATTCTGGGTTATATACACATGTCAGATAAGAATAGACAATTATTACATTCTTGTCCCACCAGGTTTCAGTGATGCTAATTCTATCCCATTTGCTATGTTATATTAGATGTTATAATATAATATATTATATTAAGGCAGTGACTCAGAGAGCAATGGAAAGAAGGATGTGTGATGTGACAAGAAGAGTTCAAGCCAAAAACAAAAGAGCTGTGTCAAAGATCTGGGGTACACAACATGGTCAATGAGATCTATGAGGCAAAAGGAAGATGGACAGGGTATATAGCATGAACAAAAGACAACTGATGGACATGGCAACTAACAAACTAGATACCAAGAGACAACAAACAGCCCTTGGGCAAAAATCAAACCATGGGATGAACCAATGGTTAAGCTATTCAGCCAGAAATGGAAAAGAAAAACACAGAATCGTATATTTTGACGAATGATAGATTTGCGTGAAGCCCAAAGGAGTGGATCAACAACAAATAGAATAGAATAGAATTAAGAGTTCAAGTTCATCTTGTTTCCCAAGGTTAACTTGGTGGGCTATTCTCTTCTAATAAACTTTAGACTATCCAAATACAGTCTCCCTCCCCAGACAGCTCAGTTTAAAGCCCTCCTGATAATAAGCTCTTAACAAAAATATTCCTGAGGTACAAGCCATTCTTTGCCAGAAGCCCAACTTCATTAAACCTCAAGCAATGGTTCAGCAAGCCAAATTGTTCCTGGAACATGATTTCCCTTAACTTCAGTTTTTCTGTTGTTCATGTCATTTTCTGGGATCTTTTGCTAGTTTGTGCAAATCTTTAAATAGGTAAAATAAAATAAACACAATACACTTTTGAGCATTACATGCACAAGAAAGAAGCACCGGATCTTTGGAGCTGTTGTTATTCCTCCCATTCCTGTTCAAATTACTATAACATCAATGTGTTGCTCAGAAAATTAGTAGAATGAGCATTTTTGCATCACAATAAGTAATGGATCAGGAGGTCAACATTTCTATGCCCCCTTACCTCTGGCAGAAGACTATGGTGGCTGGAAGCACCCATGGCAGTGATTCTGAATTTTTAAGTGGCACTCCAAGTTGTGGTACATATTTAAGTGTGATAGGATGTGAAAAGCACCTTTCGCTCCCAACTGAAGTGGAATAGGATGTGAATAGCACCCCTTCCTAACTGAACTGAGTCCCCAATCACCACTGACTCAACTAATATAAAGTCATTGTTAAGGTTTGCAACAGCACACAAAATGATCAGCAGGTGAACCTGTAAAAAGGCCAAAAATTCTGGAAACAAATTACTAGGGCAATCCAAGAAATATTAGACAAGAATAAACTTCATGCCAGAATTCAGACTACTAGGACTGTTGGATGATCAGATAAAAAGGACCATGAGAGAATCTTATATGGTTAATAATGGAAAAAGACAGAAACATCAACTATAGAAGACTGGACAGTCAAGATGTGGAAATTATTAGATACTAGTCGTCCCCTGTCACACATTGCAGTGGCCCAGTTTGGTGATCTGGAAAATAAAGTAATGAGAAAGTGTTGATTTCTAATATATGTAATTTCTTTATGCTTGTGGGTAAACAGTATTTCTAGTTATTTCTTTGTGAGTGTTGATGAAGAGATTGTCTGGTTTGCCTACTCTGGAACATGCAACATAAAATTGTCCTTTTTTAGGGGTCACTTTCAAATCTATTATACTATATCTGTCATGTGCATGTGTGTGCGTGTGAATCATATGTATCTATGTCAGGAGAGAAACATCAGGAGAGAATGCCTCTAGGCCATGGCCATATAGCCCGAAAAAACCTACAACAACCCAGTGATTCTGGCCATGAAAGCCTTCGACAATACATATGTATCTATCTTTATCTATGGCTGGATGGCTCTTTGTCAGGAGGGCTTTGATTATGTTTTCTTGCTCTGGTGAAGAGAATTGAACTGAATGGCCTTAAGGTAGCATTTTTCAACCTAGGGGGCAAGATCCCTGGGGGGGGGGGTCGTGAGGGGGTGTCAGAAGGGTTGCCAAAGACCACCAGAAAACGCAGTATTTTCTGTTGGTCATGGGGGTTCTGTGTGGGAAATTTGGCCCAATTCTATCATTTGTGGGGTTCAGAATGCTCTTTGATTGCAGGTGAACTATAAATCCCACTAACTACAATTCCCAAATGTCAAGGTCTACTTACCCCAAACTCCATCTGTGTTCATATTTGAGCATATGGAGCATTTGTGCCAAGTTTGGTCTAGATCCTTCATTGTTTAGTGCTCTCTGGATGTAAGTGAACTACAACTCCAAAACTCAAGGTCAATGCCCACCAAAACCTTCTAGTGTTTTATGTTGGTCATGGGAGTCCTGTGTGCCAAGTTTGGTTCACTTCCATCATTGGTAGAGTTCAGAATGCTCTTTAATTGTAGGTGAACTATAAATTCCAGAAATTACCATTCCCAAATGACAAAATCAATTTTTTTAGTGATGGTCACTCCTTGGCTTAGTAGTTGTCATGTGGCCAAATTTGGTGGCAATTAGTCTAGCGGTTTTTGAGTTATGATGTCACTCAAAACGAACAGAGCGCGTGCACACACACACACACACACACAAATTTGCAACGTTTTTGAAGGACACATGCTTAGAACACTGGAAACCATTTTATCAATATATATCTGAGGGAAAAGTAAACACTTTATGTACAGGTTTGTGTACAGACATAAAACATTGGGATATTCACCTGTAAATGTTTAAACAAGTAGAAATAAACAATTGATTGGATAGAAAGTGGAAGAAAAATGTTAAATTTATAGAAAAACTGGCAAAAGAGAAACTGGAAATCCTCATTTAAAACTAATTTATGTATAGTTTGCTAGTTTTAGAATTAAAGATAGAGATAAGAGGGAGACAAAAGAAATTGCAACTTTCTCGGTGAGTGTACGTGTCCACCGTTGATGGCTAGAGGGTGCATGTGCGTAAAATAGAAACTTAGTAGACTTGTATAACCTTGTGGTTTCTTGTAAATCAGGTGATTTCAGGGAAACAGACTCTTAGTAAAAACTCTTGTGTACATGCACTGAGAAAGGTGGGATATAAATATAGTATCTATCTATCTATCATCTATCTATCTATCTATCTATCTATCTATCTATCTATCTATCTATCTATCTATCATCTGTCTATCAGCTTAATTACTGATTAAAGGAGGGTGGCAATTTCTTTTTCCATCAAAGCTGGGCTGTCACCTTCAGCCAAAATAAAACTAATTGAAACTGTGGCTGTTGGTCTGTCATCTCCTTCTCCAGTGAACTTTCAGTTTCCACTACAGAGATGTATATTTGTTAGGCAATTGTTGTTTAAGTATGTTTATGCTTATGTAATCAAAAGTTTTGTTGCTTTTCTTTTTGTGTTTTAAATTATATTTAAAAAAATTAAAATGTCAGCAGAGAAAACTAGATGGGAATGAAGTAGTGAGACATCCTACTGGAGAACATGGCTGTCTGTTTGGAGCTGAGGAAGAGTTCATCAGCTGACTTGGAAGTCTGACTTGGCAATGGTGGTCCACACTCTGGTTACATCCCATATAGATTACTGCTACACGCTCTAAGTGGGGTTGCTTTTGAGGACTGTTTGGATGTTTCAACTGGTCCAGCGAGCAGCAGCCAGGTTGCTCACTGGAGCAGCGTTCAGGAAGCACAGAACCCTCGTTATGTCAGCTTCACTGTCTGCCAGTCTGCTACCAAGCACAATTCAAAATGCTTGCTTTAGCCTAGAAGGTTCTAAATGGGTCTGACCCAGGCTACGTGTCTGAACATATCTTCCCCTACGAATCAGCTCAGAGACTGAGATCATCTGGGGAGGCCCTGCTCTCTGTCCCACCTTCCTCACAAGAGCAGCTAGTGGGGGCGAGAGACAGAGCCTTCTCAGTGGTGGCCCCTCGGTTGGGGCACTTCCTCCCTAGTGACCTCAGATCAATCGCCTCCCTATTACCCTTCAGGAAGAGAGACAAAATCTGTCTCTGGGAGCAGGCTTTTGAAAAATAGTGCAGTGCAGTAATCAATGTGGAATTATGTGCAATTGATCATGAAATGGCCTTAGACCAGTGGTTCTCAACAAGGGATCCCCAGATGTTTTTGGTCTTCAACTCCCAGAAATCCTAACAGCTGGTAAACTGGCTGGGATTTCTGGGAGTTGTAGGCCAAAAACATCTGGGGACCCCAGGTTGAGAGCCACTGCCTTAGACCTTGAACTCTGGATACATTTAACTTTGAATATATTTTAATCATGTTTATTATGCTGTAATTGTAATTCAAAACATTTTAGGCGAATTTTGTAAGTTTTGAGGCACACTGTGTAGGTGCCATTTGTAAGATGCCTTGAGTCCCCTCCGGGGTAGAGAAAGGCGGGGTATTAATAAGGTCAATATATAAATAATTCTCCAGTTCAGACCTCGCTTGCAGATTTTACATAGAAAATTGTTTACATGACAGAACTCCAAAGTGCAAAATCATTGATGACCAAGAATGTAGAAAAAGTAGTCTATAGAAATGTTAATTTGAAAATGTATATGTTCAAGAACACCCACAGACCACGTCCCCTCCTTTTCTAATAGGACATGTTTATATTCAGTAGTTTCCCTTGTCTTCTCCCCACCCAGCCTAGCTTCCTCTTTCAGACTTCTTCATGCTTCAGCCCTCTTTTCCATATTTCCTGCTTCAACCCTATTTTTTCCCCTCCTATAATTATTTCCTGCCACAGTACCGAGATGGGAGGAGGAAAGGAAAAGTAAGATGGGCAGGTGGGTATAAGAGAAGCTTTATAAACAGCCCAGGATAACCTGTCCCCAACTGCTGGTGCTGAGAGGCAAGGACACCCAGTACATCCACCCTACTTTGTATGATGGGACCAGAGAGATTCCTCATTTTAATTTTTGCAGCAGGTAAGACAAATGGCTCAAAAGGTCCCTGTTCAAGAAGGTGGCGGCTTTCAGCTCTGTTGAGGCTACAGCCTCCCATTCAATTAATCTATCCCAGGTTTCTATTTATTAGTTTAATGTTGGCTTCTTCAATACAGTGCTTTCGGTGACAACCTTTCTCACTCCCATATGTACTTTTGTGAGGTTGTAGTCTATGGACACCATGCTGGATAAAGGTGATTTAAGTAAAATACGGTTCCCTAGCATACTGGGGAAAGAATGCCACTCATCCACATCAGAGTGAGAGGTACAGATAAAAGGACTTGACTGTTTAGTGGGAGCCAAACATTTATGTTCCATATTTTTCTTCTTTCCTAGGAAGTGTCTACTGTTCAAGAGAAGCTCTGGAGATTATCCCAAGCAGTGGGGAAGTGGAGCTGGGCAATAAGATGTATTTCTTATGCAAAGGTGAACATTAATAACTACGGAGGGTATGTACAGGGATGCATATCAACAGTGGAATATTTTTGCCATTGTCTGATGAACTCAGATGAAGGCAAACATTTTCTTGTACAAGGTCCTGGATTCAGCCTGGAGATGGAGTTTGACATTTCTGGTTTGTGTTTGTGTCTGTGGTTTCTCACGTTTCCAAACTTAAATCTATATTTTGCATCAGTTTACACTTTTATAAAACCACTCTGCTTGAAAATGCGTAATGTATTCCTATATGCATTTCTCCAAACAGATGCACCAAGGTTTGCAAATTTGCCTAAACAAAGTTTGCACTAAATGCATATGCCAAAAGCATATAGGCAAAATTGCATCCCAGGATGCATATATTTGGAGAAATGTATAAGGATGTGCATAGCATGTTAAGTGTTAGTGTTTTGGTAATATTGAATGAAATGAGAATTATGAAAGATAGCATCAACAGTAATAAAGTTTATATATATATATATATATTGTTCAGATATTTATCCAGGGTGTATGAATTAGGTGAGTTCACATTAAGGTAGAAACAAATTTCGCTTCACCTTAGCATAATTAGAAAATGCAGAAATTAGGGGTTTTGAGTGCAAAATGTTGCAGAGCTATTGGGAAGCTCTGGCACAGGTTTGGAATGATTCTGCTAATTACTGGAATTTACAAGGAATGCTAAGTTGATGTGGCTATTCAAAAGTTTGAGAATATTGCAAAACATGGATTTCCATTACAAAAGGTAGGTATATATATATCGTAATATGATATATTGTATATACATATAACATTTATAATATTATAATGTAATACAATATAATAGTACTAATAATAAGATATTATAATTATATATTTTATATTACATGTAATATTACTAATAATATTACAATATAATGGTATAGTACAATATAGTGATATATAATACCGATATTGTATTATGCTAATAAAATAATATATTGTATGTATATATATCTTTTAAGCTGCTCTGAGTCCCCTTCAGGGTGAGAAGGGTGGCATATAAATGTCATAAATAAATAAATAATACATACAATGATAACAATATCTTTTGCACTAGTTTGGAGCTCATTCCAGACCACAGGGTTCAGAATTAACAATGCTGGTAGACCACTGAACTAACTCAGTGGTTCTCAACCTGTGGGGTCCCCAGATGTTTGGGCCTTCAACTCTCAGAAATCCTAACAGCTGTTAAACTGGCTTAGATTTCTGGGAGTTGTAGGCCAAAACACTTGGGAACCCACAGGTTGAGAAACACTAATCTAACTTAACAAAAAACCCAAGCTTCCTACAATGCAATCCTATTACCTGCCCCCACCCCCCAGCCCTAATTATTCTTATTTGACTGATATTCTGCTTCAACAAGGAAAAAAGTGTCCAAATATGTTTGAAAATGTAGCTTAATTTACTGCACATTTTATAAACACTCATCAGTGGTCAGGTTGGTTGGGGCTGATGAGAGATGGAGTCTACAAATTATGAATTATCCGTTTTATGAATTATCCATTTTGAGAAATTGAGGAATGATACTTTGTGATGTCACAGTTTCTCAGCCCATCAATTTTCACCCTTTTTATTCTATATCAACAGAAATTGCTTTTCTCTGCACTCTAATGATATGTAAACAGTAATATAATGAGTGTTACTTGGAGAGGTAGAGTGGTTTCTGTTTTTATGTGTATCTTTAGAGCAATGGTCCAAGCACAGGTGTGCATATATATGTATTACAACAACCTTACATTGATGCCCTTTGTGAAGATAGATTCTCATTGTGCACATGGTTTGTACATGTTTTTCCAACATCATGCATGAACTATGGCCAATCCCTAGTCACAATAGTATGGAACCCCCGGTGGTGCAGTGGGTTAAACCCCTGTGCCAGCAGGACTGAAGACCGACAGGTCGCAGGTTCTAATCCGGGGAGAGGTGGATGAGCTCCCTCTGTTAGCTCCAGCTCCCCAAGCGGGGAAATGAGAGAAGCCTCCCACAAGGATGATAAAAACATCAAATCATCCAGGCGTCCCCTGGGCAATGTCCTTACAGATGGCTAAGTCTCTCACACCAGAAGCAACTTGCAGTTTCTCAAGTCGCTCCTGACACGACAAAAAAAAAAGTCACAATAGTGTAGACAAGGTAACTCCCTCAAGTTATTTAAGGTTTCAGCTCCCATATATCCCAGCCAGCATAGACAACAATCAGGTGTTTTGGAAGACCCTTGGTATTTCTATGAAACATTAACCATATTCTTATGTAAGACTCTATTGTGTATTTTTACCTGCCTGTCATCTATCTGGACAGTATGGGGTAGTGGGTTGGAAAGTTGGATTCCAGGAGGCTGAGGGCCCTTCCACACAGCCATATAACCCTGAATGTCAAGGCAGATAATTCCTAATATCTGCTTTAAACTGGATTATCTGAGTCCACACTGCCATATAATCCAGTTCAATGTGGATTTTATACAGCTATGTAGAAGGGACCTGACATTCATCCATAAAAACCTCCTGCATGATTTTCAGCATACATGCTATGAATACATCTTTCTGGAAAAAATATATACAAAAGGTTCACCATGAGTTAGGGGGAAGATGCAGAAATGAGGACTTTGTCCCTTCAACTAAAATTGTCTTCATTATCCACATTTAGAATATTGTAGAAAGTGAGCAACTAAAATGCATTCACACAAAGAAATCTTATATTTGTTGTGTTGACATTGTCTCAGTAGCTTTACCTTTTTCCTGGAGCCCCTGATGGTGCAATGAGTTAAACCCTTGTGTCAGCAGGACTGCTGACCAAAAGGTCAGCATTTTGAATCTGGAGAGCAGGGTGAGCTCCTGTCTGTCAGCAAGAACTTCTCATGCGGGGACATGAGAGAAGCCTCCCACGTGATGGTAAAAAAATCTGGGTGTCCCCTGGGCAATGTCCTTGAAAATGGCCAATTCTCTCACACCAGAAGGGACTTGAAGTTTCTCAAGTTGCTCCTGACCTGAAAAAAACCTTTCCCATTTCTATCTGTAAACTGTATTTCTAACAACTCAACTGATGTTGTAAATCACTGCAACACTAGAAATTTAGGGACTTGAAGGAATATTTCATGGGGGAGAGGGGAGAATTCATATATAAAGAGCAATGTCTATGTGTCCCCCACCTTACACTCTGACTCAACTTGAAAGCACTTAACATCTATCTATCTTTCTCTCTCTCATTATTTATCATGGTTTGGTTTTGTGAAAGGCAATACTGTCATTAAGAACCTTTCTGTTTATCTGATGAATTATTTGTCTATTATTATTTACTGTTTGCAACCAAACTGGGCAATTTGCCATTCTCCTTTTTTCTTTAATACATTATCCTCTGCTTGACAGTAAGAAAAGGCGGGGAGGCCACATTGACATGGATTGACCCCAAAGGCACTGACATCGATGAGGATTCAGAGCCATACAAAGAGGTGCTGGTTGACGAACTCTCAAAAGGTCTGGAGATGACCCTGACAGACCCTAAACAGGAAGGAATCTTCACATGCAAAGGCGATTTTGAGTCTGGAGGGACTACTACTGTCCAGATCAGAATCCATGTGATCCGTAAGTGACAGTGATGTCCCATTGGGAACTAATTCATATCCTGTGGGTAACACAGATCTCAGTGAAACTTGAAATTCTTGTCTATAATAATGCCTAAAATGGATTGTAGTTTATGAGCAGGGTAAATCCGAAACCACATTCTTCAAACCATAGTTTAATTGATTTATTATTTGTGCAATCTATTTCTATTAAGCCTTTCTCCCAACATGTATTCTTAGGAGATACTCTGCATTGTTTTGTGTCCAGCAAAAGTGTGGTTAAAGGGGAGGGGACAGGACAGTGGTCATTTCTGCTCCCATAAGAACTCTGCTACACCAAATGAAAATTTCCTCCCTTCTTCAAATTTCTTACATTGCAGAGAGTGAAAGTCTTTTCCATTTGGAATTTGTAGATTTGATTGCTCCTTTCCACTGGGTAGCTAAACCACCCCTGAAAGTATTGAAATGCTAGAAATCTTTGGACTGGAGGAAAGTTTCATTAGGGAGGAGGGAGATTTTTTTCTTTGGGGAGCAAATATGTCATCCTTTCCCCATGGTTCAGTCTTGTCAAAATTGTGTCCCTCCAGGTGTTTTGGATCTTAGCTCCCAGAATACCTAGCCATTGGAATAACTGGCTAGGACTTCTGGGTGTTGGAAAACCAAACATCTGGAGGGCTACAGGTTTGATGCCTCTGCCATAACTACATCCAAGAATCAAGGAAACTTGCAATTCAGGAAAACTTCTGATTTACTTCTTCATTTTCTCATCTATTATAGACACTCTTGGATATAAAACAGCTTGTTGTTTATTCATTCAGTCACTTCTGACTTTTCATGGCCTCATGGACCAGCTGACGTCAGAGCTCCCTGTCAGCCGTGGCCACCCCCAGCTCCTTCAGAGTCAAGCCAGTCACTTCAAGGATGCCATCCATCCATCTTGCCCTTGTTTGGCCCCTCTTCCATTTTCCTTCCATTTTCCCAAGTATCATTGTCTCTCTTCTCTAAAACAACTTGGCAGGGTGCAAAAACAGGAAAATCATGGGTGTGGAGGGTCATGGTGTGTGTGGGATGGGATGGGAGGAGGGATGTATCTGTCTTAGGTACAGTCTATGGCAGGGGTCCTCAAACTATTTAAACAGAGGGCCAGGTCACAGTCCCTCAAACTGTTGGAGGGCCGATTATAATTTGAAAAAAAATGAATGAATTCCTATGCACACTGCACATATCTTATTTGTAGAGCAAAAACACTTAAAAACAATACAATAATTAAAATGAAGAACAATTTTAACAAATATAAACTTATTAGTATTTCAATGGGAAGTGTGGGCCTGCTTTTGGCTGATGAGATAGGATTGTTGATGTTATTGATGCTTTAATAAATTTCTTGGGTTGTTGTAGGTTTTTTCTGGGCTATATGGCCATGTTCTAGAGGCATTCTCTCCTGATGTTTCACCTGCATCTATGGTAAGCATCCTCAGAGGTAGTGAGGCTACCTCTGAGGATGCTTGCCACAGATGCAGGCGGAACATCAGAAGAGAATGCCTCAAGAACATGGCCATATAACCCGAAAAAACCTACAACAACCCAGATGGGATGTTGTTGTTGTTGTGTGCTTTCAAGTCATTTCAGACTTAGGTTGACCCTGAGCAAGGGCCGGGTAAATGACCTTGGAGGGCCGTATGCGGCCCCCGGGCCTTAGTCTGAAGATCCCTGGTTTATGGTATTTAATAGGCCTGTGCGGTTTCGTTCGTTAATTTCGTAATTCGTTATTAATTCGTTAATTTTAGCATTTACGAAACGATATCAAAATTATTTTCAAACACGGAAGTGTATTTTAAATATCGAAACAGCATGCACCAAATATTCTCGTATTTCCGTCCATTTCGGAAATACGTAAGATGGCGATGCTTGCTGCTCCTCCTCCTCCCATCCTCCTCCTTCTCCGCCTTCCGTTCCTCCCCCCCCCCAATCGGAAGGCCCCATGACCAGGGAGACTGGTGGGGTGGTGGCCAGCTGAGCTGTCCCCGCCCCTGGCTTGGTGGCTCCCTGTCAAGCCTGGAGTGACGGGGGGGGCGCCGGCAGTGGAAGGGGCCATCCACAGGGGCGGGGCAAGA